CCTCCGCCACGACCACCACCACCACCACCACCACCACCACCACCACCACCACCACCGTCACTACCCCGCCGACCACGACAAGCACGACGACAAGCACGACGACAACCACGACGACCACAACGACGACCACACCGACGACCACACCGACGACCACACCGACGACCACAACGACGACCACAACGATGACGACGACGACAATTCCAAGGTTTGGGCTTCAGTACTCGGCTGTCGGGCTTTTCACTTACAGTTTTAGCCCACCCAAGAAGTAGAAACAGCACAGAGAGTATACGGGCCGTGTTAAGCAAGGGCTTCACTTCATAACTTCTAGATTCAATCTCCTGCTTGAATATAACAGACTTCCAGATGAAGGCATTTTGACATTGCATGACACGCAGGAGTTTCTCCCCCCTCTAGATACTGTGTCGCAAAAAGTTGTTGGACCAGTATGTAGTCTAGGGAAACGCTCACAGTATGGCTGAAGGCAGAGGGTGCGACTGAATGGGCGTTGATAAGCTCCTGCAAAGCACCTGTTCAGAGCTTTGGGCTTGGGTTTGGGTTTTGGGTTGGGCTTTGGTGCTTTTTTTTAGAATTTGGGGCTAAGTCCTTATGCTTCAGGCTTCTGAAGTCTTTCTGGGCTGCAGATGTTACCAGGAATTGAGCTTCTGGTTCAGCAGAGTCAACAGGTCAAGGTCCATGGACAGGTGCGCTTGATTGTTGCGTGGGATTCTCAGCAAGCCCTCCAAACATTGTTCCGAACTCCTAAAACCCCCGCATGTGGATACTTCTTTTGGTGCCCTACTTTCTTGAACCATCGGCATGCTCTGCTGTAAAGAGCCCGACACAGATATCGGGAACTGCCAATACCATCTGAGTAGAGGTTGTCGGTGGTTGTAATGGATGGGATTGTGCGCTTAGTAGCAAATATTCGGCTCTCACTACACCCGAAAAGATGCTATAATCTTACTCTAAAATCGGGGCCATAAACCCTAAAACCTGAACCCTAAACTCTAAATCTGAATACTACATCTGCAGGAAGCAAGCCCATAAGCGGGCCATGCCTTGCGCATCATGTGCCCAGGAATGGTGGAAGGCCAGGGGCGACTAAGACTGTGCAAGCTTGATACTGCGAGCCCGGCGGTGTGGGGCGCAAGGTTTGAAGGCTATTTGCTGGAATTCTTTCAAAACACTATAGTATATTATAATAGACTTCAATATACTATAGAATACTATAATATTCTATCCCAGGGTTTAGCACATCCAGAACCACCTCGTCAAGCAGAGCATCTTCAACCTGCTATGGCGTGTACAAGCAGCATCCTTCTCCATACACAAGGTAGGGGTGCGTTTCCCGAAATTAGGGATGCTTTTACTGGGGGTTGCAGGGCATTTATAGGGGTATATAGCGGTGAGAAAAGGATATCTAGGGTTAAGGGGTGAGGGTTTCCCAAAATTAGGGGTACCCTTTTGGCCAAGAATATTTTGGGGTCTATAATGGGGTCCCCCTATTTAGGGAAACTACAAGGTCATGAGCTGCATCCCGATTAGGCTTTAGGAGAGCTCTTCGGTAGTGTCTGGGTTGGGCTGCTGGTGCAAGATGACTTTGGTGTATGCCATGAAGATGTCCTACCCAGTTGAGCTACAAGGACAGCAACAGTGACAGCCTTCATTGTACCAACGCCACCACGATCACTGCTACCACTGCCGCCACTCCCCCCCACCGCCGCCGCCACCACCATCACCACAGGCACAAACCTACACCTCAAGTACGGGCAACTACCTCCAAAACTACCACCGCCAGTAGTTTATCACCAGGCGGTTTCTGCTGCTGGTGCTGCTAGTGCTGCCGCTGCTGCCTGTGCTACTTGCTATCTCGGGGTCCCAACTCGGCATGGCTAGCTTTTTTATTCCTCAGCGCCTTTGCTGCCCAAGGGATGGATTCAATTAAATCCCCTTCATGGCTAGTGGTTCCTAAGGGCGAGTCAGGCTATGAATACACATCATCAGCCTTCGGTTCTTAGGCCACAGCATATATTCATACAACATGGTTGGAGAGGAAAGCTGCCCCCATCTGGTCTTGAAATGCATGACTTACGTGGACCCCCCACCCAGTAGTAGTGACTATAGGGGATAATAGGGATCATATTAGGGTCCTCTTGTATTCCCATTATACCACTATTATAGGGTGGGGGGTTCCTCCTAATGCATGACAACGCGTAGACCGACATCAAGGGTTTGGGCGTCAAGGGTTAGGGCTTCAAGACTTATCATGGAAAAGAAAATGCGAACTACTATCTAGGGTTAAGGTTGCGTATGGGGGTATTACTCCAACAGTGGAGACTGTATTGCGCTACCGTCAATATTTCCGCAGAACATTACTGGACACGGGTTCCTATTCCGGACTATATTAGGGACTATACGGAAACTACAAGAGGGACCCCTATGTCCACTGTTCAGGCTCCCTTAATGAGGCTAATGTTGACAATAACTCCAAACTCCGAATATCCCGCTTAAGAAGCCCTATAATAGGAATCCTATATAATCCCCTATATAGACGCCTTTCAGGTGTTTAGACCCTAGACCGTAAACCCTATAAAATCCCCTAGATATTCCCTTTTAAACACATTAGACTACAGCTCGTATAGGGATTTTTTTATCTGTGAAGGACGGGCTTCGGGGCTAGGGTTTGAGATTTGGGCTTGAGGGTTTGGGGTTTAGGGCTCAGGGTTGCGGAACTACATTATGTGCATAATCCCCTCCCCCCAATATTCAACTCCCCACCCCTTCCTAATAACAAAAATTCCCAATATACTGCGATAGAATATATTGGGAATTTTCATATTGGGGGGTTGGGGTGTTTGATATTGGGGGAGGGGATTCGGAGGGGATGCATTAAATGAGCGTAACAATCTTATTCACGGTACAATACCAGTTCTAAGATTCCTTTCAGCGCACCAATCCTCCTAAATGGCGCTGTTCGAATGTCAAGTAATCAAGATTGGATTCTTCTTCTTAAGAACTCTGCCAGAAGAAGGACACAATCTTACCCTATAGCATTGAAGACTACTGGACCACTCAAACACTACTCCCCTTAAGACCCCACTAGGGCAAGCAAGAGGGGCGGAGTGCGCAGCACGTGTGCAGAGTCCACGCTCAAAAACCTACATCAATGGGATGGGGTGTACAAAATGTTGGGATGGGGGTTTAACATAATGGGCTCCGGGGAATTGAAACTATCAGGGGACGAACTGATTCTGAAAGTTCAGACTTTACAATGTGGACACAAAGCTTCGGATACCGTGCGAGTTCGAATCCAATTTCAAAGCTGCATGGCCCAAAGACAGCCCATGTACAACCTTCTGACAAGCTACTATACGAATCAGAACCGGGGCAGCTACCCTGGTTGCACCCCAGCGTTTTATGGAGAATTTTACACATGCGCCCTTTTGAAGCACTTTTGTAAAATTGGAGTTGATACACCGTATGTTTTGAGAACTGCCCTCAGCAGGGTCTTCGGGATTGCCTTTTGGAGTTGAATCTGTGTTTGCTATAAGCCCTAGACCCTAAGCCGGACCCAATGTACCCCCAAACACTAAATCCTAAAACCCTAAACCTAATAGGGTTTAGGATTGTTTGATTGTTCCAGGCCCGGCGTTTCATTTCTTTGAGTGCGAACGATGTTTGGATATATCGCCTTGCATGTTAATCTGACAACTTTAAGTTCGGTACTGCCCCCCTGTAACAGTCCATATTAGGGGTCATATTGAAGGCTATATGGGGGTTTCCCAAAATTAGGGGTACCTTTTTGGGGTCCCCATAATGAGGACTATAGTATTTTGGGGTCTATATTGGGGTCCCCTTATTTTGGGAAACTACCATATATATACAACTATGTTACACATGCTACCCCACCTTAATCCTAGACCCGAAATCCTGGACCCCACACCCTAAACCCTGAAGCCGTGGACTCTGGATCCTCCCCTTGTGGGGCGGGACCTACTTGGGAGGGGCAGACTCCTCCAACACTTAGAGGGAATCCTTCTAGGATCCGTATGATATCATCCCCTGAATGCCCCTCCCGCTTCAAGTCGGCAGGCGAAAGCGCGAAGTCCCCGCTGATTGGCGACAGCTGCACGTCTGGAGCGCCCAAGTTCTTTCTACTTTGGACGGACAAAATCTCGCACACCCATACCTCGCTGTAGCATCTATGGCGAACTTGGAACCCTTGTAAAGAATTCTAATTTTGCTGTTCCTTAGGATTCTAAAATGCAAAAAGTAAAACATTTCCAAGTACCCCTAAGAGCATGCTTAGGATTATGCACAGATGTGCCCACCGGCCGTATGATGATGCATTCTTGCTTCGATCCTTGTTATTGCTAGAAAACCTTAAGGAAGGACCTAAAATCATGAATTGACACAAGCTTTTTAATCCAATTCTTCTAATCTGGGGGAATTCTGTTGCAAGGATGGAAGGAGAGATGGAAGCTAAAGAGCGAAAACGCCAAAAAAAAACGAAGAAAAGGTACGAATAAAGAAAACAAGTAAGACCAAGGAAGAATGAAGGCAAGAACTGATCAAAATAAAACGAAAATCAATGAATTAACGAAAGCAGAACTTCAAAAAGAGCCAAACAAAGACACAAAAAGAGATAGAGATGGCAAAATGAAAAAGTGACGATTGCAGACAAGACAAAAAGAGAGAGAGAGAGAGAGAGCGCACGAAAAAAACAAATCAAGCCTTCCTGCCCTGGCTGTCATGAGAACTTGTTCCTGGTGCCTTACTCAGTACGCCACTCATTTAGATCACTGCCTAAACCCTCCCTAAAACCCTTTGAGGGCAGGGCCTCCCATCCGACCCCCACCCTTGCCACGAGGCTGAGTAAAGCTCACGCAGAAATAACAAGCAAAGCCAGGCCGGGTTATATGGGGGATTATATAGCGGACTACTCTAGCGCTTATTCAGGGGGATACTAGGAGTTAGACTGTAGCTTAAATTGGGATTTCGAACATTGTCTTGGGATCCCCTTTTTGTGAAGATCATAGATGCCGTTATGATGGGTATTACGACGTCAATTGCCAACCAAGTTGGGAATACATAACATCCTTCTTACAACCTTGGTGAATGGAGCTACTCTACTACCGCTGGAAAACACGAAGCATCTTGCCTCTCCGTGTTGCTACTGTTATTGGGAAAATTTGGTGTTGCTTTTGTTGCTGTTTTTTCCGTTGGGCACCGGCTCCTATCCTGGTGATCATTCGTCTTGCTACAAGCATCATGGCACTTTGTACCTGTGCAATTGTGTTGGTTAACGACGTTATCGTATCTGCTATGTCTTGTTCTCCTCATTTTTGGCACTTCGCCAAAACCTGAAACAGGCAAACAACAAGGCACAGAAGGAAAGAAAAAGAAACACGGGGAGAACAAGTGAAAGCCTGACGATAATAGCAACATGACAGAACAGCAGTACATCTAGTCCCCCCTAAGTAGATAGAATATGGGGTATATGAGGATCTTATTATAATATACCCAA